CTGGGGCCTGGCTGGCAGCGACAGCAGCCGCAGAATGGAGAGCAGCAGTAACCTCCGCGGCCCGACGCCCCCCGGGAACCTGGACGCAGCAGACCCCCCCAAGACCTCCAGAACGCAAGCACATGCAAATCCGAGGAAAAAGGGAAAGGCAGATAACTGTGGTCAGGCCTCCGTAGCCAGTGAGAAGAAACTCAGAACGAATGGAGGAAAGCAGAACCCACGTAAATTCAAATAACATCGAAATGGTGAGCTGTGAAGACCAGCAGAACCCTAAATATGAGGGCCCCGGTAGTGACAAGATGCGAATGTCAAGAAGCGTTATGATTACTGCCACTTTGGGGCTGCCTGGCTCTTCAGTCCCCCCACCAGGTATTTTCAACAAAAGGATGCTGGGAAGCCTTTCTTCATGTTGACAGTCTTAAGAAATGACAGCCATTGGGTAATAATTAACCGAGGTCTGTACCAGGTAAAGGAACAGAGTGACAACTCCCCGGGCAAGAGTTAACTGAGCCGGTGGGCTGTGGAGAACAGAACTTGGAGGTTGAGCTCCACTTTTCCTTCACGAGAGCAGCGCCCACAGTTTAACAGTGCCGATCACCAGCGTCCAAGACGGTCGGTGTCGGATGCCAGTGTCCGAGGTGGTCAGGGCTCTCTCTTTTGTTCCCATCATGAGCCCTCCAAGCAGAAGCTGTCCTATTGAGCCCTAGAAGTTCTGGCTCCTTGTCAAATTGGGGAGCATGGATTTTGAGCAAAATCATTTATCACAAAGCCACTTGCTACACAGAGACCACAGAATCTAGTGTTTTCATACATCTTCCCGGATGTTGGTTAAAAAGAAGCAGCATCTTAAATTTGTGTTCTCTAAGCTGAGGATGGGGAGTCAGTGGGTGAGCGGGACGTGCTGTTTGGAGGGCCAGCGTGGAATACGTGGCACCCCAGCCCTGAAGAGGAGCCACTGTATAGAGTTTGTGGACAAAGGGCCTCTGAGCTAGAAACACATGGAACCACTTGGAATGTAACAACTATTACATTACTGATTTGGGACCCAGATCCTGCTGTCGGAGGTCAGAATAATGATCTTTTTAGTTTGCAAGAGCAGGAGTTCAGAATCTGGCTCAGGGGGGGCAGAGTGGGCCGTGAATGGGGATGAAGGTGCTGCATGTCTTCCTGGCAGGCTTGCTGGCCTTGGGGCTGCGGACTCCGGAGGCTTCCTGCTTCACTGCAGTTACATCACATCTAAGTGTCCCTGGGGCTGTGCCGTGAGATTCTGCTGATGTTAGTGGGAATAGCTCTGAAACCTCTGTTTGACTACCTTTTTCTGCACAGTATGTTTTTAAATTTATTTTTATTGTTGACACTATTACAGCTGTCCCCATTCCCCTCATCCTTTGCCTACTTCCACCTGCCCCCGCCCCCTCCCCCCTTTCCCTCTGGCCATCACTACACTGTTGTCTGTGTCTGAGTTATGCATATATGTTCTTTGGCTAATCCCTTCCCTGTCTTTTATCCAGTCCCTCTTCCTCCTCCCCTCCAACAGCTGTCAATCTGTTCCATGTATCCATGCCTCTGTTTCTATTTTGTTTGCTAGTTTATCTTGCTCATTAGAGTCCACATATGAGTGAGATCATATGGTATTTGTCTTTCTCTGATTGGCTTATTTCACTTAGTCTAATACTCTCCAGGTATGTTTAATGATGGTAGCTGATTTTTTAAAAATTTTTATTTATTTATTTATTTTTTTATTGCTTAAAGTATTACAAAGGGTAGCTGATTTTAACCCTTTAAAAGAGTATTCTGTTTACATGTTTCTATGTTTTCACCTTTGGGGCAGATGAAAAACGTGGCTCTCTCATTTGAAAATATCTAACAGCTTGCAATTTTTTCCCTCAGCAGTCAATGTCATCCAAGGTGCTTCCTAAGTTAGCAGCATAAGGACAAGATACACATAATTAAAATAATAGGCAAATGTTAAATATTAAGATCCTGTTTTAAATCTGATTTCAGTCATACTAAATAACATATAAAATTTTTATGGTAGTCTTTTTCTTCCCAGACTTTATTTTCACATATTTCCAGATCCTTTCTTATATTTTTCCAGAGAAAGCAAGCTCTTACCCTGAGATCTTACGCCTTTTTACACAGACAGAAGCTGGACATCTCATACGCATTAATTCCCTAGTCCTCACTAGAGTATTCTTTTGTTCCCAGTCTATGTGCTGTGTTTTGAAAACATAGAGACTCTTCTTTTCTTTCTGGGCTTCCTGAGTCACCCCATGCATCGCTGGCTGCCCTGCTCCTTGTGAGCGTGACAGGTGGGTCCTTTAAACACACTGGCAGGCACTCACGATTCCTTCTCTGCCAGGTTTTTACACAGCTCTTTAGGAGCTTCTGGCCAATAAATCTTGGTAAGCCCATTACACACACACGTGTGTTCCTGATGCTAACATGGAAGGGTTCCTGCAGAGTTGCTGCCTATCCTGTCACGGTGTCCATCCGGTGTGGGTGCTCTTGGGGCACCTGCAGGGAGAGGCCAACCTGCTTCACTTTGCTGGCTTCCTGTGGTCTGAGCTGAGGACCATCACACTTAAGAAATTCAGAGGTGACACCGCGGATGTTACATTTGTTCTTTGCATTGAAGGTGGTTACTTAATTCGGGGAGCAGTCATAACGTCACATGACAGGACGGTTTTTAAAGACTGACAAAGTGGCTTAGCTTGCTTCCTCTTTTGCCTCAGGTTGATGGTTTGTTTTAACCATTGTTGTTGTGATGGGGTCAGAGCTCCTGATGAATAGTGCAGGTGATTAGTAATGAGCACACTTCTGGTTTTATGATTTCTTTTTTTAAAAACATGTCTTTATTGATTTTTAGAGAGAAAGGAAGGGAGAAAGATAAGAGAGATAGAAACATAGATGAGAGAGAAGCATCGGCCGGCTGCCTTCTGCATGCCACTCACTGGGGATGGAGCCCACAACCTGGGCATGTCCCCGGACTGGGAATCGAACTAGCAACCTCCTGGCCCATGGGTCAGTGCTCAACCACTGAGCCACACCAGCTGGGCTGGTTTTTTGATTTCTGATCACAGATCTAACATACCTGAATGCACCAAATGCCACAGATGAACGCCGTGGTCTTCAAGCGGCGTGGGAAAGTGGAGGTATGAGCTCGTTTAGTTCATGTCTAAGCCACCGAGCTTCCTGCTGTCTAGTGAATAGTAACTGTGTTTCTAAGAAGTGCCTCTTATTTCTGGGGAGTTGTTTACATACAAGTTGCATTTAAACAAATTAAAACAACCCAAAGGGAAACAAAGTAACCAAAAAGTTGAGAGAGTATTAAGAAGAATGACTTAGGCTTAGAATCAGTCAGTGGGGAAAGTTTTAAAAACATATAAAAATGAACTACAAAAATGTACCAGTATTACCTACAATTGTTTACGTTTAGATGGTTTCTCAAAACTTTACTGACTAAATTGGCTGAAGGTTTAGTCAGTAAAGTTTGGGTGACATTGGGGGCTGAAGACAAAAAGATGGGGGAGAGGCTATTGTGGGCCTTATGATGGCTAACAGCTACAGGAAGATGTTCGGAATGGTCCCTAGGCCTGTTAGTTTCCGAAAAGATGTAAGACTTCCTACCTTCCACGATATAAACGTTGCCCATTTATGCTTTCCTTTATGCGCACTTGCTTGATCAGCTACATTAAAATATAAAACTCTTGGTGGTACTGTATTCCATGTAATAGAGAAGCAGTATTATTTATTCATTACATGGACAGAGCACCATTCCAAGCAGCCTGAAAACATTTAGCATGTGTTACTTGCTGTTAGGATCATTACTGTGTGCTGGCTTTTGTACACAATAAAACCGATACTTAAGTCTCCGTGAATCTGCATTTTCCTTCCCCCAAGACCAGTGGGGCAGTAGAAAAATACTGTCTGGACTTTCCTGAGATGGTTTTGCTTTGCTTTCAATGCAGTTTTCCTGCAGGGTTTGCCTCATCTCTCCTCGGCTACATCAAAGAGGTGCCGAGGAGAAAATGTTGGCCCAGCTCCTTTCTGCCATGAAGCAGCATCCACAACAGCAGGGCGGGCTGTGCATTTCAATGATGAAATAGAAACATCCATCGGCTGCCTCCTGCACGCCCCCTCCTGGGGATCGAGCCTGCAACCAGGGCATGTGCCCCGACCAGGAATGTGCCGTGACCTCCTGGTTCATGGGTTGACGCTCAAATATGGAGCCACGCGGCTGGGCGGGGATGGCAGTTTTGAGCAGCTACCACGCCAGTCCTCTGAGAGGCCCTTTGCTCCTCTTCTCAGCTCGCCTCTGACCATGAGATGTATGCTTCTGAGTCTACCAAACAGTGGCTGCTCATGGCTTTGGGGGTGTTAAACAAAATTCAACGGAGTAATTTTTAAAGACCTTATTGGCTTTATTCAATGATTCATGAATTGGGTAGCATCCCTTCTCGCAGATGGAAGGGAGCTTGGAGCAACTGTGCAGAAGGAAAGACTTGTAGGCAGGAGGGGCGGGAACAAGGGAGTTACACTGCGCAGCTCCGTGGTTGGTGGTTGCTAGGTCACCCACAGGGTCTATCAGGCAGATGACCTGCCAGTGCTGATCAGGTGACTCCCAATTGGCTGGTTGAAGATGCCATTTCTGGGGGAGCAGAAACTGTAATTAAGTGTCAATTTAATGAAGTTGGGGCTTAGCAAGAGCAACTTCATTTTAGACCTGCTGTCTTATTTTTAACCATGGTTTTAAAAAAACTTTTTTTTGGTGGTTTGAAAACTTACCATATTAAAGGTTTTAAATAATTAGTGTGTATAGAAAATGGTAATTATTGGATGTTGCTATTTTATTCTCCACAAGGTGGCGATTAAACCTGTTCAATAGCACTGAATTTGTTCTGTTAATACCTTCTAATCAAAGGAAAAGATTTTGATTGTAACCAAAATGAAACGGGCAAGAAAATGACTGTTTGATTTCAGCCCCAAAGCGTGTTCTTCATTTAGTGTCACTCTGCATCAGAGAATTAAATGGTTGGTTCAGTGCCAGCAGGTGCTGAACACCCCATACCATTGTTAACAGTTAAACTGAGGCATATTAAAAATTTTAAGTTTACTTGAGTAAAAATTGGTTCAGATCGGGCAGCACCAAAACTAAGTGGTTAGGAGCCTCCTCAGGTAGGAGCTGTGGCCAGGATTTCATAGAGACGAGGAAAGTCCTTGACTGGGGGCAGCTCCTGTGGCTGCCTTGTTGGGAAAGCCTTGTTGGCTGCCTGCGACTGGCTGCCCCTGACCCTGCAGGCATTGGCGGGAGTGGCCTGGGCTGCGCTATGGGGTGCTTACTCGGCTGGCCTGGCATCAGAACCCCACCAGTCAGCGCCTCCTCCTCCGATTGCTTTAGCATCACAAAACTCTATGTAGCACAGAACAATGCTCCGTGAAGGAACACAACATAAATCACGAACTTCTGAAACTCTTCATAGAGCCCTTGCTTAAGAAATTAACTGTGATCACACTGGAAAACACACATGGGATTTTAGAAGTGGGCTAGTCATGAATATAACTCTTCTCATGCGAGTGATGTTCTAGAGGAAACGGAGGCTGCACGTGCACCTTCAGCCCCTCTCCAGCTCACACAGTCTCATGCTGCGCTGCTCAGTCTCCGCAAGGGGAGGCAGTTCAGAACCGATGGCCACGTCCGTCCGCTACGCTGGCATAGTGACTGTTTTCAGGTAAAGGCACTTGGAAAGCGGTAAATACAGGAAACACACTCTTACCTTTTTATTTTCTTAAAAGCAGGTGAAAACTCCATGTGAAAGGCATCCCCAGAAAGAAAGTAGCATCCTTAGCACCAGGGCTGAGGAGCTGGGCCCAGGAGAATTCCACACAGACTTTATTTTAAAGGCATTCTTGTCTTTCTCTCGCCTCACCACATGGTTTCGTCTCCCACAGCTGCCTCTGTTCAGACGCCATGAAAGCAACAAGACTCCCCATTTCTCCAGGTGGAGCTTGGGCCACTTCCCGGGCTCCTCAGTGTCCCGGGTCTCGCCCAGGAGCACAGGACGTACACATGTTATTGACTCCTGTTTGCTTTTCTCCTGCTCGCCTGGCTTTTATGGCTTTTATGACAGGGGTGCGGTTCCCAGCCAAGAGCCCAGAGGTGGAGGGAAAATCGCCTCCCCACAGGAAAGGGAGTGTTCCGTCCCTGCAGGACCTAAGTGCAATTTCACAGGATCCTGGGGTTGAATGTTGAGAAACCTGCTTTTCTGTCACTTCAGGTCTGCAAGTTCGGACCCACTGCTTTGACAGCGTGTCACCCTCACCGACCTCTGCCACTAACAGCCTGGCTTATCTGTGCTATCTTCTCCGCCTGAGGCATCCCCTGGCTCAGGCTCCAGAACAGGGCGCTCTGGTACTCTGCTGCAGTGAGTGCTATGAGTGGAGGGTTCTCATGTCCACCATTGTCTTTAACATTC